GGAAAGTGGAGACAATAAACAAATTAACGGGTGTTATATTGTTAGTGAAAACCTGTGTGTCGGCTGTACTGATGACATCGTGCCTGTGCTCGTACGGTGTGATCGAGATGGACACCAAGACCCAGATTGCCATCACGTTGTTTCTGTTCAACGCCACGGCCGACATCGGGTGCGGTTGTGTGGCCTCACAGCTCATCATTAACTCAATGAACGCGTTGTGCAAACGGGTCGAGAGGGCACTGCTTGTGGTGAAGGAGTTGAGCGTAGACGAGCGCCAGCAGCTCAAAATGATCCTGGCCGTACGCAAACGGTTCAAGTTTAAGGTGCTAGGGCTGTTTGAGCTTAAATGCGTTAACATACTTTGGATTATTTTCTATGTTAGCAATTACGCGGTCATTATCATACAAACACAATAATCATTATATTTTATATGTTGTTTTTAATTTATTGTAGTTATTTTTGAAAAAGTTATTTGTTAAACAAAAAATGTACTTAAACTGTAAACTTACACAAATATTACTTATTTAATTGCCCATCATGTATTGTTGTAAAATTTGGTTTATACCGTCCGGAGAATTATATTTATAACTAACTTTTAATTGTGTTACAAATTTTGCGCACATTTATCACATAATTTTAATTATATTATTAAAATTTTGTAATTAGTTTAATTAAAATGAGATTATATTTCTCATAAGTTATGGCCGCATAACAGCAAACAGTTTATTTTCATAATAAATTATTAATAATAATTTTTCGATCATCAAATTAATATGAATTTGTATATCACGCTATTTGTACTATTAATATTTTGCAAAAGTAAGATTTTAAATTTTGAACAAGACCATTTAAATATATAATTATAATTACATAAATAAATATTCAGATAGTTATAGATTAATAAAATATAAAACTTTTAAAAAATATTTAAATCATAAAAGTATTGTTAAAAACATAAAATTTGTTAAACAATCATGTTAAATGAACATTATTCCATAAGTAATAATTAAATTACAATTATATACAGCAAGTTATGGATTCATGTCTTTTAGTAAGGAAGCGGACACGTGTGGAATGCGTAAGACGAACGACGTGGTAAAGTTTAAGGCTCGGCTGTTGGGAGTGAAAGGCATGGGTAGGATAGTGGGTGGGGTGGAGGCGGCCGACCATGAGTTCCCGTGGCAGGTCAGCTTCCAGATATGGCTGTCCCGTAAGAACCGGTTCGAGCACTTTTGCGGCGGTGCTGTCATTAGCGAACGCTGGATACTGACCGCCGCCCACTGTTTTGATAAGTAGGCACTTACTTACGCATTTACCCCCTCCCCTCTCCATTCTAGCAAACTTAGATATTTTAACATTAAACTATTACCATTATATAAACTTGAGTTTAAATATTTATTGAATTTATTTTACCAATTATTAAGAAATAATCGATATTGTAATAGATTTCTATTGGAAAGTTTTATTTTAGTAAAATACCATAATTATATTGCTGTATTTTACATAGTTCAAGGATTAAATTAATTAAATTTGTCTGAATATTGCTTGTGGTCATAGATTTCGCACTGAAGAGACCTGGAAGGGAATAATCATGAAAGTGGGCACAAACTTAATGTATGATCCAAAAGCATTCAACCACACCATCGCAAAAGTGATTGTGCATGAGCAGTGGGACACCGTCGAACAGGCCAACGACATTGCCCTGGTCAGATTGAAACTCAAACTCACATTCCTCACTAAAGGGCTACAGTACACCATAAACAGCGTGTGTCTGCCCAAAAAGGACTTTGAAGTGGCCGTGAGCACCACGGTGACCCTGTCCGGTTTTGGCCAGTTGGGTGAGCACGAGTCTAAGCCAGATTATTTGCAAAAATTGGACATGCCCATTTTTGATCACGAAACATGTATTAAAAATTACGACGAGCACGTGAAGCTTAATGATATGAAATTGTGCGCTG